GAGAAAATTGGGATTGGAAGAGGTGGGAGAACTGCAGAACCTGAGGCCAAGGTTCTCAGCAAGTCTGGCATGGGGTGGGGTAGGGTGATAGAATGCTGGATTTAGGACACATTTGGCAGGTTGTCCTTGGTGGTCCTAGGTAGGGGAAGGAGGTTCTGCTAAGCTAACTGGAAAGTACCGGAGTGGGCAGGGCTAGGCATCAAGCTACTGTGGCTTGTTGAGGATGAGGAGCATTTTTGGGAAATTGAACTGACTGTCCTCTCCTTCCTCTAAACCAGTGGCTTGTATGCAGCTACAGAGACAATTTCTTCTTCAGCCCTGCTCTGTCTTTATTGTTATCAAAAACCAGGATCTGAGTCCAGAGGGCAATGAAGTATAAACTGAAGTAGGGGAAGTTGCAGTCTGTAGACTTTGGCTGCTCCCACAAACCTGCAAAAAATATTTTCCTTGGGTGTTCCCTTGGTAGCAGTTTTATCTCCTTGTGGTTCATTGCGAGTTTGGCTCTTCAAGCTGAATTTAGGGTTAAAGTTTGTCCTCCCTCCTCATTTGGTGTTTGCCCCCTCCTGGCTGTGAGCTGAAGGGACTGGTAAATGTGCCTGAGTCAGGGAGGTCAGGTGGGTGGCTCAGTGCTTGGTAACCTTGGAGGGATCACAAGGGAGCCACTGTGCTGTGGCTCTGTGTCACGTACAGGTATTCATGCGTGCAAGGACACATTGTATAACCGTGTAATTGTCCAGGTGTGGCGCGTTCCTTGTCAGATGTACCCGCGTTTATTTCCTGCCTCTCTGCAGGGAGTGTATTTACAGTGCTTGAGGCGGGGACACTTCAGCTTGATCAAGGGTAGTTTTTGGCTGTGGCCACTCGAAATACGTTTTGGTGCCCAGAGTAGTTGAAACTATGTGAGTTTCACAATGGAGCGCGTTCCTCCGGACTCGTATTTTCCGCTGTGCTACCGGAGCTAATTCTCTGGCTCTCGGCTCTCCCTTGGAGGTGGGGATGAGGCCAGGGCCCCGGGAGGTGGTCGCGTGGCGGGACAGGGGGCTGTGCCGTCAGGAAAGGAGACTAGCTACGGTTTGGGGCGACCTCCACACGGCCCTGCCTGTATACAGAGCAAGCAACTAACTCCTGAGAAAACGAGCGAGCCCCACACAACTCCTAATTCCTGCAGGGAGGACGAGGAGGTGTGCCCGCCGGGGAGGGGCACGCACCCTCGCGGGCGGGCGCTCGTTGCCTTGACTTCCCCATCCCCGGCGGGGAGGGGCGGGAGTCGCCGCCGAGCGCAGAAAGTGCGCGAAGGGGACGCGCCGCGAGCCGCACACGTGACGGCGCCGCGCCGAGCCGAGCGGGACCCAGCGGCGGCGGCGGCGGCGGCGGCGGCAGCGGGCGCAGCGGGGCGGCCCGAAGCGGCGCGGGCGGCCTGGAGCCCCGGGAGCGGCGCGCGCGGCCCCGGCCCAGCCGCTCTCCCGGCCTCGCGCTGCACATTCTCTCCTGGCGGCGGCGCCACCTGCAGTAGCGTTTGCCGGAACATGGCGACACGGAGCAGCAGGAGGGAGTCGCGACTCCCCTTCCTATTCACCCTGGTCGCGCTGCTGCCGCCGTGGGCTCTCTGCGAGGTCTGGACGCAGAGGCTGCACGGCGGCCGCGCGCCCTTGCCCCAGGACCGGGGCTTCCTCGTGGTGCAGGGCGACCCGCGCGAGCTGCGGCTGTGGGCGCGCGGGGATGCCAGGGGGGCGAGCCGCGCCGACGAGAAGCCGCTCCGGAGGAGACGGAGCGCTGCCCTGCAGCCCGAGCCCATCAAGGTGTACGGACAGGTGAGCAGTTTTGCAACCCGCCTTCCTCCAGTTTTTCCCTCTCCCTGCACTTCCTCACCCCCGCATCCATCCGTTTCGGTCGCCTCCCAGGTGCAAGCACCACTGGGGACTTCCCGGCTTGCATTTGTTTTTTTCCCCCCACATGAGTACAACCGTGAGCACTTGAATCGCATTGATCTTTCCTTCTTTCTGTCGATTTTAGCAAACGCATTCCAGGTAACTCGCGGGGTGCAGTGCCTGTTTCCCCAGGGTTTGTGCAGACCGATGTAGTTTCCGGCAGGTAGAGGAGGGGTGCAGCTTCATTCTCCATCTGGATAAAAAACGGGCTTTCTTTAGTGTATCATCAGTTGGCAGAGGAGGCGAGCACCCTGCAGTAGCAGTACACTTACACAGAACGGCAAAAGGAGGGGGTTTCCACACTTACCATTATTAACCACAATAAAGGTGGGCAAACCTGAAGCTTGTCGACTATCTCTGTGTAGTCAAAACAAGAAGGATTGTGTGTGGGTGTGTGTGTGTGCGTGTGAGTGTGTGTGTGTATGTGTGGGTGTTTGTAAGGGCTGAATTAAAAAAAATTTTTTTTCTCTGAAGGTGTGAGAATCTATGCATTCCTCCTCTCCCACCCCTCAAGACACTGACTCACCCGCCCTTTTCAAGATATTGACTTTATTTTGGACAGGAATATCCCTCATGGCACTGAGGGATTTGAAAAGACTGCAAGAAATCGGGTGGGCATTATTATTCTGTAAGTGATTTATTTCTGTCCAGGCAATGGGTTTATTAGATCATAAGTAATATGAATTTCACTTTTATGGCCAGACTTATTGCTAGGAATTGCAAACTGAGTTCGTAGGTTAGTATCAGCACTGGCAAGATTAATTTGACCATGTTATTGCCTCATGAGACTCCTAGTCCTGCAGTTAAGATCGACAGCAGCAAAACTGGGAAATCAGTGGGGGAGAAAAAGTGGGACCAATAGAGGTGGTAAATATGTTCCTAGAATCAAATTATTCCCTTTTAAAGTAGAAATGAAAGATTAAGCTCTGAGTTCTGCCTTTCTTCACTGATTTTGCTTTAGTCATTTCTTCAGGAAATATATAGAGTTAAATGTTCAACCCTTGGAACCAGGAAGAACCTTATAAACCTTGTCACCCTCTTGTGTCATTTTGTTAGTGAAGAAACCGATGCTGGGAACAGTGAGGTGACTAGTCCAAGGTCGTACCGGGAAGAGTCACCTGCTCTTTAGTTTTTGTCTGCATTGTCTCAGTGATCTTGGGTTGGTTGTAATCACCCTATCATTATACGATGCTTCTTAAATATCTCTTTTACAAAATAAAATATATTATATATGGCTATAAAGGGGGGAAGGGTGGTGGTGAGTGGGTGGGAACATTTGACTTCTGTTCACTGTCCACTGTGTCCCTGGGCAAGAGTGTGCCTTAGGGCATGTAACTGCTTGGACACGCATGCTTGTCTCCTCTTGGGCCTGGGTCCTTGTCCCCTCTCCACCCCCATCTGAAACTTCTTTTCTGTGTTGTTGAAAAGAAGTCAGCTAGGACCTTGCTCTCAACGGGGATGCCAGCGTTAGGCTAATGGAGGGTGGGGGAGGAGGGGAGGCTCCCTCGTTCACTGGTCCCCCCAGTCAGCCCAGCTCTGCTGTGCTCTCGAATCAGCACTCTGGGGGCTGGCAGTAGGGTGGTGGGGGGAGAAAATCCCTCCCAGACCCCAGGTCTCCTGAAGCTATAGTTTTGGTTGAGGGAAGAGCTTTCTGGTCTCAAAAATAGGCACCCAGGTGCCATTTCTTCCTTGGGTTTGGTTTGTGAAAAGCTCCAGGGGATGTGGGGCAAGTTAGAGATGAACTCTGTTGTCACTGGGAGTGACTTCAGAGCCCTCGGCTTTTATGTTTCTGGGCCAGCCAGACTGAGTAGGGCTCAGCTGAAGGTTGTAGAACTAGCAGTGGAACTCATGATGAGGAATTCCTACCAAAGGGTGAGGATGCAAGGCTGTGTTTTTTCTCCTCCGTGACTGCCTTCCTATGCCATTGTTCTCTGTTGCCCTGAGGTTAATAAGAAGTGGTATTAACTTGAATCTTTAAGGATTTGGATCAGGTAAAAGGAAGAACTTCCTGATACTGGGCTTTCCGCTACAAGTTCTCTCTGGCGCAGACCCTTCAGACTGCAAGCACGGGAGCTGGTGACTGAAGGCGCTTGGGGTGCCCCTGTTGGAGCTCTGGAGTAACTAACATCTATTTGGAGTGACCTTTCTCGCTAGGGTGACTGTTTGCCTCTATTTTTCTCTGCAGACCTGGTTTATAAGTTGTCTCTGCTCGTTATGAGTAGCACTCCCTTCACTCTCAAAAGTGTCAGGATGCAACTATAAATTATATGGTCATTCTACTTCTAGCCCTAAGCCAAGTTCCACTTTATACTCCCTGACCCTCTCTTCCACTTTTAAACCTAAGGAATTGCAGTGTTTTCTGACACGACTGCTTGAGTTGAGTGTGGTTCTGAAGAGGTGGGGATTAAGATTTCATTTCTGCTTTCAAAAAACTTAAGATTGAAGGAGGAGATAAAGCAGATGCGGATATAGGTATAAATGTACCTGGACGAGAACCAGTAAACATGGACACAGTAACCCAGTCACAACTCTACGATGGTGTGTTGGTGGGCTGTGTGACATGCAAGGCGTGGGAGACGGAGTGATAAGGGATGGTGGGCTCAGACGCTCTGCAGCTTCTTGCCCTTTGACCTTTGAGTGAGGTTAAGAGGACACCCCGCAGCACAGAGCAGGGCTGGAAGCAGAAGCCGCCTGAAGGAAGAAGCCCCAGAGGTGGTGGTAAGGCCACCAGCTCCAGGGAGAAGAGAAAGGAAGGCTTGCTGGGGAATGCTTGCATCTGAAAAAGAGCCCCACATTGGGGTCAACATCAGTTCTTTTTTCCCTGCTTTGCTAACCTGTAGTGTAAACTAGGCTTAGTTATTATTAGTTAGTTATTTTAACCATATTCCTCCTCAGATTCTCTGATGTGGCAAGCGAGACTGGTTTCTGCTGTGATTACTTAGGGGCATGTTTGTATTGATAATAATAAACTATGGTAATAGTGGTAAAAATGATTTGCTATCAGATATTAGGACTTTTCTGCTAAGTTTAAAGTTTAGAAGGTTTAAAGTTTAGAAGTTGAGTCTTTTCTAGAAAAGGTTAAACCCAAGAAGGGGGATTCTCTAAGTCATGGCCACCCTCAATTTCTTTCTAATTTCATGTCAGCTCCGTACCTCTGTGCTGTCATGCTTGCTTTTTTTCCTGCCTGAAATGGTCTTCCTTTATTCTTGTCTTTGCCTGGAAAACCCCTCCCAATTCCATTCTTCAACTCCAAGGAATACCTCCCCGTATTCCCAGGCTCCTGTGGGAAGAGTTCTTTTGAGCTTGGGTGCAGGACTTACTGCCTTGTGTTAGAATCACTTAGCTGTCTCATCTCCCTAATTTGCTCCTTGAGGGTATGGATCGAATCTTTCTCGTCTGTGTTTCCCCGGCACTTGGGAGGCCCTTAATGATTTGTGGACCAACTGCACATCTGGAAGAAGAAAGGCCTGGAGGCTAGGAAGCAACACTCAAATTATATTAAAGGTATTTATAGGGAGGACTGTGGTGAACCCACAAATGGGTAGTGAAAATGAGTCAGCTCACTCGGTGGTGTGGCGACGATGCAAATGGCATGGCCTCCAAGGGCCCTGATTTTCCTGTGCTATCTGGGAGTTATTTTGAGTGAAGAGCTTGGGTTCTATTTTATAAAATCCTCCCCTTTAGGGCTGTCATACTGGTTTGTGCTAATGGTATTGTTTTGGGGAAAAATCCTTTGGAATGAAGCACAAAGCCTAACAGGATTTACAGGTTTATTTTCCTTTCAACAAGCTCTCTCTTCATAATTCCTACATTTTAGAGGCCAGGGAGTATTCAGTGTCCTGATTTGAGACTGAAAATAAAGTGTCTGTTACAGCACAAGCCCCTGGAGCAAAAGGACTCCTTTGGGGGTGGAATACTGTTTAGCTTTAGATCTTTGTTGAGTAGATTCTTGCACGATACACTTGCTTAGGAAAGAATTGGCTGGTTCATTCTGAAGTTGGGATGTTTGACCCATATGCTCCCAAAAGAAGGTGAGACGGCAAAGCATTTGCTGTTTCATGTTGGCTTGTATGTCGGTGAAGAGTTACTTGGTGTCTTGGGTTGGCTCCATGAGGGATGTGACCTTGAAAAACTCTTCCTGGTTCTACTTGGCATCTCTTCTTGTTGAGTTCTGTGCTCAGTCTCTGGCCACTATATAGTTCATTAATAGCTTACATGTCTTAAGCCACAGAGGTGGAGGCTCTCAGAGTTGGAAGGAATGGAGGAAAGGGCAGGGTGAGAAGAGGAGGTGTGGTGAAATGAAAAGCCATCCGATTTGTTTACTTAGCCTTCAGTAGGTAATGTGTGTTTACAAAATGAAATTTGTACAAAAGAGTATGTAGTGACAAATAGATTTCCCTCCTTCTTGTGCCCCTCATTCACCCAGAGCCCCTTCCCAGTTGGCATCCACTGTCATCAGTGTTTTTATATCCTTCCGGAAATATTCTATGCATGTACAACATGTATGTACATAAAATTTGAAACTTGAATAATAAGTGGCTTTCTGTTCTCTGTAGCCCCTGGTGTCATGAATAATGAGATTAACTTTAGCTCTAAAATATATTTGTAGCATTATCATGGTGAATTGTCAGGGAGTTACCTGAAGTGTTATAGTATAAAATAGATACTTTTTCTCCAGGCTGAGTTAAAAAAAAAATACCAAAAAACAAAAAACACTTCAATTCTTATTTCGCTTGGAGGGTTCCTGCACACCAGGAGAGCGGCATTATGTGGCTCTCGTAACTTGGAGAGACGCGGGAGAGCATCCCCTAGAGATGTAGAGCCCAGGTGTGTGACAGTAGCAGAATATAGAGATCGTGGATCTTGATTTTAACTTGCATTCT